CACTTTGAGGAGACTGGAGCAGAGGGGCTTAGAAGGAAGCAACAACAATAAAGAAGTAGATGACGTTTTTGATACAACAGAAGTGGAATATGATGACATTAGTATAAGTGAGGAAGAATCAGGCAGAGAAGAAGAAACTGATGATAATGAAGAGGGAAGCGAACCAGTCGATCAACTGCATAAGTTATATTATAAAAAAGTAATATTCGCGCTTATATCCTTCTATTATTCTACCTTGCTAACTGATATTTCTGTATGAATTTTAGTTTAATAAGCAAGAGTTTGATTATGAAGAGAAAGCTTTTTTAAAGCAGATGATGAAGAAAAAAGCCTGTGTAAAAGATAAAGTGTATGTACTGGCATCAAAGTTGTTGCTGAAGGAAACCGCAGATGCTGATGATGACATGATTCTGAAGTAGATATAATATTTTCAAAAACGTTGAGGCATTGGTCTAACAAGTTTGTGTTCTGTTACTCATTAGATTGTCTCTATCAAATATTGTTAACTGTATTCATCCTGGATCTTATGAAATTTTAAAAAAAACATTGACGAGGAAACAAATGGCGGCTATCGATAACGTGAATATGGAGTTATACGTGGGATTGTCGAATGAAGATAGGGAGCTATTGGAGAAGGTATTGAAAAGGTAAGCCCCATAAGAACAAGTCTTTCTTGAAAATATCACTGCTTACAACAGCTTCTGTGTTATAGTGGAGGTGATGAGGACGATACCGGCAATATTATTATAGAGATTTTAAAGGAGCAACTCAAACTTAAGGAAGCAGGCTCAAAGAACAGTGATGCGTACAAGTTGCTAAACATCCTTAGATCTATGTAAGTAACAGAATGTTTAAATTTGAAAATAGTCTGCACTAACGCGTTCATTACACAATGGTATTGAAAATGTTGAAGACTACTCAGAAGCTAATAGTGAGTTGACAGCATACCGACACTGCGCAAAGCTCTTGGATTATCTTTTTTGTGGAACAAAACTGAAAATTTAGAGTATGTTGAAATTTTGCATATGTGTTAAGTACAATGCTAACTGATTATAAATCTGTTAAAATTCTAGTGGTGAGCCTGGTTGTTTGGCCGCAAAAGAGCAGATGATCGTAAACCATTCTTTGTTTCCTTTTTCAGGACAAAAATATCTTCTCAACTTGCGCCATAAGAAAAATTGATGCGATCGTTGTGATGAACTTGAATATGGAAAGAGTTAAATTATCAACGAATGAGTGGAAGAAAAGCAATGCAAGCTCTGACACAGCCACAAAGCAGCAATCTAAAAATTTGCGAACAAATTTGTCGAAATTGAACCAATTGAATCGAAAATATAACATAAAAACGAAGACTGTAGTGGCTATGGATTTTATTGGTAAGTGTTTACTAAAATGTTCAAGTATATTATAGGCTTTAACAATAATGCTAATTTTGACAAATATGTAATGCCGGCTACATGTATAGCTTAGAAGAAAAAGAAGGATTATATGTTGCAAATTTGATCGAAGAACTTTCCCTCCCCACAAACAAGGAAACGATTAAACATGTCTCAGAGACTATCAATGCACTTTTTAAGTTTAAGGTAAGGTAATTTCAATAATTCTTTAACTCGTAAAATTCATTATCTCCCAACTTCAAAGAATCACTTGGAAAAACTGGTTACCGAAGTTACAGAAAGTTTTACAGTGAGATTACCAGCGTCGAGATTGAAAGGTATTACTAGATCGAGAGTACATCATGAGGAGGCTCCCCGTAAAGTCCCTCGTGTTATGTTCTCGCCAAAGGCAAAAAAAAGAAAATTGAATCATACTCATTAAAAATACTATCAATATACAATTTTTCCAAGAGAGCAAAATGAAATTCATTAAAGTGTTTACTTTTTTTTTTAATATTGTTGAGACTTTTGAGAATTACCGACGTTTTTTGTTAGTATTTTCCCTTTGTACCTCAGACTACCTAATGTTTGTTTCTGTATATTTCATTTTGGCCAAGGATTATTTGTCTATGCCAAGTAATTAAATTTGGCAGTTAACTTACCATATTGTCCTTTTTCTTTTTACTAAATTGTTTTGTAATAACGAGCACTTTTTTTTATGAAGATGGACAGGACAACATTCATATTGAGAAAGGAGAAATCGTTTACAATCCGATGGAGGATGTTCCTATACAAATTGATGATCCGGTTTTAATTCCCAAAACAACTACTAGCCAGAAAACCTTTTTAAGTGTTAAACGCCCAGAGAAAACTGTTGAAGAGTCTTCACCTAAAAAGCAACAGAAGAATAAGGTACCAAATTTGGATAGATCATACAAAAATTATAGGGACTTTGCCAGAGAGACCTTTATGTGTCGTATGATTTAAAAGTCTAAAGAACGTGGGTTGGTGGCCAAGGTTACAAATGGCGTAAATATCAATTACTACACTGCATTAAGGTGGTGGAATAGCTATAAGAAAAAAACAGAAGAGATCCCATATAACAAATCCAAAGAAAACAGTGACACTAGAATCTCTTCCATTACGGGCGTTAAACTAGGGCTGCTGTATCACCACAAATTTGTAGCTGACAAAAAAAACGATATTGCAAGGAATAGGGATTTGTATGGAGATGGATGTTGTGAGGTTGACAATTAGATTAAGATCAACATTGACTATTATACGTACAGTAGCTTGTTGGCAATATAACATACATTCATCTAATTACACATCTTCAACCAATTATTTGCCATACACTTTAAGTTAATACATCTATGATAGACTTTATTGATATAATATTCTATTATAATAATAAGGGCTTATGATAAAAGAATCCAATAGCATGGAAAGAAAACAATTACAATACGAAATAGGAAACCGTATTAGATAAAAATGAGATATGAGATAAGACCACAGCAAACTTAGTAATTCAGATATACACAACACCTTATAGGATTAACTACTTTGTTATGTAATGGGCAGATTGTAATATTATAACTACATGATTGACTGAGTTGTCTATTATCATCAATAAAATGTAAAAAATACCGTTAATAGAATTGGGACATATATTTTTTAGAAGGTTTCAATTCACAAACCAGATTAATAATATAACAAAAATTAAAAAATAATTTGGGAATAAATAGAAATCATGTCACTATGGCCATTAGAAAATAAAATACTATCTTCAGTGTACATATACTGAAAAGTTACAGTATATATGAGTTACAATGTACCCTGAAGATAGAAATTTAATTACTGAATTTGTCAGTATTTAAAATACAAAAGGTAGAAATAAAAATACTAAAAATTTTAGTAATAAAAATTCTATTTTATTTGTCAAAGATGTACCTTAGAAAAGTAATATTCAGCTTTAAGCTGTGAGAAAGAAACTCAAAGATTCTTAATGCCTAAGAAGGAGACGCATTAGTATAAGTTGTTATAGTTTAAAGACTTAAAGTAAGTTTGAGTTCCTTATTGCTCAAAAAGATCCATGACCTCTAGATAGTAAAGCTTGTAAGTTTGTATAATAAAAGTAGCTTTTTAGCCCTACTTTAAAATAAAGTGAGTTTTAAAAGATACTATGCTAATTGTAATATGAGATAATAAGTTATGAATGGTTTTTATTGAAAAAGAAATAATACAAAAAGAAATAGATGAAAGAGATGATAAAAAAAAAGAAAGAAAAGAGATAAGAGAGAAAAAAACAGAGCTCTTTTATATAATTACCTTCCATTTTTTTTTAGGCATAAGAAGACAAGCAATAAAATATCGAAATCCTATATTTGTAACGCACAAAAATAGACAAACCTTATTGATTCGTTCAAACTTTAAAGAAGATGATATGATTTTTTTAAAGGAATTGAACGATCTGTTGTGTACTTTCAATTTGTATAGTCAATTTGTAAAAATCATCCATTTTTACAAGACCATCCAATTTTTACAACATATATAAATAAATGAGCCATTATGTCCTATCTCTTTTTTTTTTACCTATATAATAGTAGTACTTTTCATCTTTTCAATCACAAATAATATCTAATAACACTTTGCCCAATCCTCCTAACAGCAAAAAAAGACTTCTTGTTTCTACCAATCAAGAGTATTATCAAATCCCTTAAGAAATACTACAGTCGTTCCAGTTCTACTTTTCATCCCGTGAAAATCAACAATTTCGCAATAACAATTGCTGTTAGAGCTTGGATGAATGATGAAATATATAGCTATGCTTTTGATAGGAAATCGTCGTGGTAAACATCTTGTTATGTTTGAATCTTGCTATATAGAGTAAGTATTAGATTATATATATACATACATACTCACGTTTTAAACAAATTTCCTATAGTTCCCGTAATAATGCTAAGCAATCGTGGTTCGTTGGCTTTGTCATATTTTATTTTGAACACAATAATAAGTCGTGTGATACAACAGATGAAAAATATACATCATTTCCGGCATTGATTGAAGTTATGAAGAGTCATAAAGTTGCTGATTATGATCCTTGTATACCAATTGTTACGATAAATAAACCCAAGAAAAAACAATTACTCGACGATCCTGAATGTAGAATAATTGATCCAAAGTATGCTGTAATAAATCTATCTGATATTACACGTCAGGTTGGACAAATAATATTGAACACAGTGTAATCTATTCTTACTATGTATTTAATAAGGACATCAAATCTTCTGTTGGTAGCATTCAAAACTTGTAACTTTCTTTTTTTGCGTTCTAGCATCGACAAATTAACACTTAATAAGTTTGGTGGGAGTTCAGGCTGTAGAAAATTACCATGTTTAGTAATCCTGTACCACAAAGGGGTAAATTCGACAAATATAAAAAGTGTTTACTCGCCAAATTAGGCGAGTAAATCAATTTTTTTTTTTTAATAATAGATATTTCTTCCTCAAATAAAATGGGTTAAAGGGGAGTATAGGCCCGTCGGAGTTTAAAAAGTTCAATTTCCTAATTTGGAAATTGCCAGTTACTATAAAAATAATTTAATTATTTTATATAATAATTGTATGTTACGTAGTCGAGTTGGTAGAGCGTTTGACTTATACTCAGAATGTCAAGAGTTCGAATCCGGCTTTTGTCATTTTTCTTTACTATATTTTTACTTTATGTAAAACAAAAAGCGAAAATAATGTTGTGAATTTTCTTTATTCAGATTGTTAAGGCGTCTGATTATGACTAAATAGGCCGCAGTTCGAATCCGTGTTAATCCGTTTTGATTAATTTTTTTATATTTTTTATTTCGCATTTTTTTGTAGGTTTTTTTATTTTATAAGAATGTCTTTCAAGTGATAATAGTTCTTACTTTGATAAATAAACTTTTTCTAACGGTTTTAATGAATATATAATCTTAAGTTTATAAATGAAATAACCTGTTTATGTAAATAATAACACTTTGTTTTACATAATATGCCTAGAATATTTGATTTTTAAACAATTTAAAAGCTACAAAGAGTATACAACTTAAATTATTTTATAAAAACTAACGAACAGTCAAAAATTATTTTGTTTAAATGAAAATATTTATTTATTTTAATTTTCTTCACGAACAACTTCAGTAATAAATGCTGGATTTGTGCTAGCATTATCGTATGAAATCTCTTTCAAGCACCTCATTACACCGCCCCAGATGTCACCAAAATGTTTTCTTCTCCAAATGAATTCTAAAAGAATCCATGGCATCATTTTTTTATTTCGAAGTCTTGGAGTCAAGTTAATTTTGATGCCATTCCATGTTCCTATTTTAAAAGATTAGTGAAATAGTATAAAGTAATTCATATAAAAAAAGAGTACCTTCGATTGTGTTTGTATTGACACCATCTTCGGTAGTGAATTGATGACTGTGGTTGACTGTTTGGTGTTGAAGACTAAGACCTAAGTTTTCCATATTGGTATAAGCTCTCCAGCAATCAGTTCTTACGATTGAACCAGGTTTAACAAAACGCTCAATAATTGCTGACAAAGTTAATTGTGTTCTGTCAGGAACCACAGTCAAAAAACATTTTCTCTCCTTCGTTTTTTCAACACCACCTACGACCCAAACACCTTCCACGTGATGACCCCTATGGTATTTTCTCTTACCAAACTTCGACTCATCAATCTCTACAATAATTCGATTACCTTCCGAATCATACCCTCCAATCTTACAATCATCATCCTGGAGATCCTCTTGAATCATTTGATACCAGTCAGAAATGATTTTGGAAACCGTCTTGCGATCAAGCTGGGTCATCTTGACAATTTCTGATCTTCTGATTCGAATAGCCCAAAAGTACAAGACCAGCATGACATCCTCAGTTGCAGCACGTCTTCCGCTAAAGAAACTGTCAACACGGTAGGATTTTGTTCTACCATTACAGCATCGATTTCCTGTAACCTGATCAACAATTCCGTTACATCTCCAGCGAATTCTGTTAGGATTAGAGCTATCTAAGTACATTTGTGATCCTGAATCCCCGTTACAAAGAATGACCCTAAGATGGTTGTAGAACACTCCGTTGCTCATAAGATATCTATATTAAATTAAATTAGCTACCTGCCCTGTATAATAGTTATAAAATTTTATACTTACTGATTGATGCTATACGGATTAGCTACACGATAAATAAATTCTTTGATAGTCATCATTTTGGTAATAGTAATTCGACTCCAAAATTCTTCAAGCTCTTCTTCTTCATCCAAAAAAGTAACTTCTTCCTCTTCTTCTTCCTGTTCTTCTTCATTATTTATTTCTACATCGGAAGAATCACTTAAAATAATGGTATTTGATTGATATTCCTCATCGTCAGATAATTCAATAGGATTAGCAGCTTGTCCTGTAGCAGGTCTTTGACGGTAGACTGACTCTGATTCTGATTCACCAAAATGACTTGAAGTAAGATTAACAAAATTGGCCATGATATAGATGTATAATATAATAAAGAAAATAATATAAAAGAAATAATATAAAAGAAATAATAAAAAAGGGAAAAGGAAAATAGTTGCCTATTTATAAGGAATTTTATCTCTGGAATCATTAGATATGAGTCACGATTACAAAAATTTCTAGATATGAGTCATAATTATTAAGCAAATTAGATGTTAGTCACAATTATTAAAGAATTATGAGTCATAATTACTAAGATATTAGCGCATGAAGCCATTATTAGGTCAAAAGAAGAATAATTGCTGCATGGAACGCTGAGTTTTGAGTGTAAAAAGCTAAAAATACTTTCATTGAAATTGGAATAAAAAACCAACTTATAAACATAGCATTTATAAGTCGTTAATAGTTGAATCTGTTGCATAAAAGAGTAATTTATTCAAAGAAGAGAAATAGAGGATCCGTCCCAGAATCGAACCTGGGACCCATGGTCGTCAATCGATTGAGAGCGAACGCTCTTCCCACTGAGCCAAATGCCCACATGTTTCCCGGGCCGCCATTTTAAAAAATCGCTATATTAAACATTCGATTTCCAAATTAGGAAATTGGACTTTTTAAACTCCGACGGGCTTATACTCCCTAAGATCCATAAAATGTACATTATTTTAAACCGATGGATTAACTGATAAATCTATGAAAGCGCCTAATAAGTCAAAAACAAAAAGCATTTTTTATTTTTTTAATTTAATTTTGAAAACATATATTTATCTTAATCTGTAGCTACTATGGATTTGTTGCTTTGTAATAATATTATATACTTATTACAATCTTACGATTAAAATAAAATACTTTTTCATAGAGAGTACTTTAAAACAAGAAACAGAACTTTTTTTTTTGGTTTTGCTTATTTAGTTTTGATAATTTGGTTTTGATTATTTGCATTCTATTTATTTCAGTTTTTAGGTTTATTTATATTCTATTGACAAGCCATATTTTACTCAGCCTCTATCAACTAGATTAAAAAAAAATTTTTCCCTTTATCTTTTTTTCTCAAAAAATAAATCTATGAAATCAACGGTTCTTTAAGCAACAAGCCACTTTAGGCTTCAACTTTAAGCTCGTCGAAGTATTTCGGTAACCTGTAACTAAAGAAGTGAGTGGCCCTTTCATGGAATTAGCTCATATTTTTTTTAACTTTAGATCTTGTTTGTAATTTTTTGCTAATGACTGAACTTTATAGTCATTTATTCATAGCCCAAGTAAAGAAAGTTCTTCAAGGGTATTTAAGTTTACAAATTTATAACAGGATTTCTTTTATTGGCTAAAAGTACATCTGTAGCCGGCCAAACATAGGTGTACCCAAAAAGGAAATGACGGAGTTTGAAATCCAAAAAAGAAACTCCGGTGAAGCGTCTTTTCAAAACCCGAAGTTTTCAATCCCCGCACTTTCCTAAAAAGGCAATTTTAAAAAAGCCTCGAAATTACCTTTTTAGGGTAAATCAGATATTTAATTGTCGGAGTTTTGAGGATGTATTCAATTTTAAATCTGAATTTTTTTATAGCGGGTAGTCAAGATATAAATTGAATTCAATTTAAGAAATTAAAAAACCTATGTACCAGTTAATATTATAATTTAAATAGTTTCTTTCGAAGAAATCTTATAAACCAACTTTATCTAGAAATTTAGTAGAAATTTTTTTTTGTTTTGGCAGTTATATTTCAAACTAAATCCAACATTTGATTAGACGACATTTTGCCATAAAATAAAAAGAAAATTGATCAATAAATCGATTATAATTATATATTTACAACATATTATTTATCGCATAAATATAACAGTTTGAAAAAAAATAAATATACTTTTTTATAAAAGCAATTGGATTCTACCCTCTGTGGTTATTCAAATGTTAGTAGTATATAAAGTATAATAAATAGAAGATATTGTGTATATAAATAAAGAATGGGGGATATTTATATAATTCGGCTATGAGTTGCTTATGTGATATGTAGTTGATTTAATTGCTGTATGCTAGTGATGGTAATATATAAAGATTATGGTATTCATGTGTCGGCACATGATACTTAATGCTATGATTTTGGTAATTATTATTCTTATTCTTCTTACTACGATGATGGGCATTTCATATGTTTGGTATAAACATCGGTTTATGTATAACGTGAGTAGTATTTCTATTCGAATCCGACACTTAAACGAACCGGCTTGGAACATATAAATCTTGGACATCCATCTTATTGATTAATTTTTGGTTGACACTTCTGTCGCGGTCAATTCGGCATTTCAGACAAGTCTGGTAGAAGTAACAAAAAGACTATATGTATTACGTACCAATGACTTATTGGAAGTAACAAGACCAAAAAGAAGGTTCAAGCTAAAGGTTCGCAAGCCTAGACCTTTTAAGAAAACAAAGCTAAATTTGATAACTGTTAATGCAATACTGTCATGAACTCAGACCATATATTTCCTGATTAAATCTTTTCCCGTTTCCTGCACTCTAGTCTAATCGTACTGACAATCAATCTTGTTTCCAGCTTCCCGTCCCTGTTACCCGCCTTTGCAACTCCCGCTTCAAGCTCATCAGATTATACACCTCTATGAACTACTATAATCAACTCATCTCCGTTCACTCTTGTATAATCTATTACCCCAACCTATGATTACAGTCAATCACTCAGATCTTGTCCCGAATCTCTCCTTGTCACATCATGAATCATCTTGCTATTAATAATTTATAATTAACTTGTCACAAAATTAATGTCTTTATTTTTATATAAAAAGGCATATAATTTTGATGTCAAAAATCCTCATTCAGGATCTTATCAATTTTCCCGTTAAATAAATCCTATTTTATTATCACTTATTTTTATCTGCCATTGTATTCATTATCTCTCTGTACCAAGTTATCTTCTGTCTCTTGCCCGTACCTCGTCCGTGACAAATACAACGTAAGTTATAAACTAATTTAGCCTACAGCCATTATGCATCTTTTACATAATTAGAATTAGAAAAGATATAAATACCAATTACACTGCATCTATTCTTAAATCGAAAATTTTTAGCCCTACGAAATTTTTTTTATAAAATTTGAAATTTACTACTAAACAAATTAATTTAATCGACCGGAATACATATATATCTATTAAATAAAGCATTTAAAAGAGATCTATGGATAAAAAAATTTTCCTTTTGCTATATTTTTTTTTCAGATTACACTCATGAAATATCGACTTAATAGCAGGGCAGGCAGAAATTTGTCTGCCTATTTTCGGATTCCGAAATCAATATCGGAGCACGTTTAGCCAATAATATTGCAGGGTTATGTTACACCGGGGTTTAAAGTTTAGCAAAAGATGAGGCCATTTTTTTTATACCCCATTGCAGTAATTATGAGTTCTATGTACAAGTGAAAAAAAAATCGAACATTGTTGGAACTCAATTCCATAATTGACACATTCAACGACACAAAAACCTTTATTTGGGACGTTCCTGAAAAGTTTATAATTTCTAAGTTCAACTTAACCAATTTGCATGATTTATAAATTTAACTCAATCAATATGCGCATATCATACGAGCACGTATCATACGAGCACATATCTTATGAGCACATATCTTACGTGCACTTGTCATCGAAGGCTGCCAAACGAATACATATCATACGAGTACATATCATACGAGTACGTATCATACTAGCACTTGTCATCCAAGGCTATCAATCCTGTGTTTACTCAATTTTTTTTTAAATATAAATATATCTCCTATTTCTCATAAAAAAAAACTATTATCTTTATTTTTATTTATAAACTTTTTAACTATACATTGGGCAGACTTAACAAAAGAATGATTCATTTATTGAGCATGCAAGAAAAGATTGCAAGAAGACGTGAAGAAGCTGCTACAAAGGAGGTCTTCAATGACAATGATAATGGTAAGCATCATTAAGAAATTAACAATATATAATTACATGCTCTTATTTATAATCTAATATTTTTTTATGTAGAAGTAACCATTAATAAGGTTCTTCAACATAAGGATGAGAATACAAAATTTCGTCGTAGTCTTGAATTCTCGGATAGACATAAGCGTAGAAAACTCCAACAGAATAAGGAGATGGCTAAAGGAAGCATGACTTTGCATAGTTTCTTTGGTTCTAAATCGGTTGTTTCAATGCAAGAAGCCGGTCCATTAGAAGATGAATTTTCTATTGAAGAAGAAGGATTCTCAATTCCAGAAGTAGCTCCCTTGCCAGTAGTATCTGAGATTGATAGAATTAAGAATGCGATGGAATTATTAAGTTTAGAATTATTACCAATGATTAATAAAAAGTTGAGGGAACCTTTGAAAACTACAAGCGTTTAGCAGTTTACGAATACTTCCTTTTTAGATTGGGTGGATCTAATAAAACTATTGCTTCATCCATGGCTGCCCAAAAGTACTGGCGTGAAAAGGCTACGCATTACCGTACTAATATGATTATCAAGTATGCAAAAGAGTACATGGAAACTGGAAACATCACACCAAGTGCTCAAGGTAAACATAGCAAGCCATTATCAGTTCTTGATGACAATGACATCAAGAGAAAGGTTATTGAGTGGTTCCGGTCGGTCCCTAGAAGTCAAAGATCCATTCCTGCTTTACAAAACACTATGGCGGAGGCATTGTTTACAATTCGGCCAAAATTGTTTACAAAACGTACAATTTTTACACCCAGTTAGTTGTTTGAAAAATAGCTGGCATCAATTTTCAGCGTACAAAATTGTTAAAAAAAAGTACAAGTATATTGTTCGTTTTTTTACTAACATTGTTCATAAAAAGTACAAGTATATTGTTCGTTGTTTTACTAACCTTGTTCATAAAACGTACAACTATATTGTTCTTTTTTTTACTAATTCTATTCGTAAAACATACAAATGTATTGTTCGCTTTTTTTCTAATTCTGTTCACAAAACATACAAATGTATTGTTCGTTTTTTTTCTAATACTATTTACAAAACGTACAAATATATTATTCGCTTTTTCTCTAATTCTGTTCACAAAACAACCCATTTTATTGTTTAAATTTACTACCATCCTTGTTCGCAATATAGCCATTTTTTTTTTTTTACAGGTATTAAATATTATTGTCGCATATTTTCAAATGATTTTATTGATATATATATATATATTAATGATATCGAAGAAAATGTATATTACAAGTAGCTAATGACACTAGATAGGGATGCGTAAAGTTTATTTTAATATCCCAATTACGTGGTACATCATTACTATCGACTGTACACTTATGGTAACCAGCATACTAAAATTCAATACAAAAAAAAAAAAAAAAAAACTTACATGGTATACGGCATTTAATTAAATGGATACAAGTACATAGCTTCATTATGGAAAAAGACAAAGTGATACTAGAAGGAGATAAATATTTATAGTTAATTAAGGAAAGCATTTTTCTTATCAAAAATAAAAAGATACATATGTATATATATATATATACTTACACAGATATTATCAATTCGGCCTACTGT